ACAGTTATTTTCTCTATTTCCATCGTTATATTTTGTTTAATCGATGAAAATATTATTGTTTATGTGTGTGTTTGTTTAAAATTTGCAATAACATATAACTTATTAATTACTTCCAGTAAAAAACTGTAGAAAATTTACTTGATCAAGTTTAATAATATATTTTTTGTTTAACTAAATGTGATATATCAATCTACAAACATTAGTCTTTTTCTACGAACATAGATATAATATGAAAATTAAAAAGAATTATTGAATAAAAGAAAGGGTGTGCCTACGGTGACATGCATGTCATGATGACTTGCACTTTCCGGTCGACCTCAGTTAGGATTAGGTCGACCTCATTTAGGATTCGGTCGACCTCATATAGGATCAGGTCGACCTAATCTGTTGTTTCAGTATAAAAACAGTTCATGGTGCCTACTTTGGATATTCATATCATACAATTGGCTAGATGGAAATTGAAGACTAATGACTTGTTTTGAAGCAGTAGTGTCCCTCTACATATTGAAGTGTAAGAGAGCTCGATAGGAAGTCCAGAAGACCATTTTTGAACCTCATCAAAAGGCTATGCCAAAACCGGGAAACTGCCTGGAAATGACAGTCTGGAAACGTGTTTGTGAAACCTATTTTGGAGCTCAATTCGAGAAGCATGAATGCGAGTCGAGTCCGGGAGCCTCTACCACGTTAAATTAGGTATGTTTTTATACAAATTCAAGGCATTGGATGAAAGATTGGATATCTGTAACGCTTCAAACAAAAGGGTCGAAGTTGCTACGAAGGCTGTTTTTCTGGCAGACTTCGAGCACAAGCAAGCTGCCAGAAAAACAGCCTTCGTAGCAACTTCGAGCCTTTTGTTTGAAGCCTTAAAGATATTCAATCTTTCATCCAATGCCTTGACTTTGTATAATAAAATACGTAATTTAACGTGGTAGAGGCCTCTGGACTTGACTCGCATCCATGCTTCTCAAATTGAGCTCCAAAGTAGGCTTTACAAACACGTTGCCAGACTTAGCCATTTTCAAGCAGTTTCCCAGTTTTGGCATAGCCTTTTGGTCAGGTTCAAAAATGGTCTTCCGGACTTTCTATTGAGCTCCCAAGTACTTTAATGTGTAGAGGGACACTTCAGCTTCAAGGCAAGCCTTTAATCTCCAATTTCCATCTAACGAATTGTAAGATATGAATCTCCAAAGTAGGCACCATGAAACTGTTTTTACAGTGAAACAACAGATTAGGTCGACCTAATCCTCTATGAGGTCGACCGAAAAGTGCATGTCACCATGACATGCATGTCACCGTAGCAAAGTCCTAAAAGAAAACATCATTAAAAGAAGAGAGAGATAACTCCATAAATAGCTCATTAACTAATTTTTTTGCTTGTACAAAAATTGTCCACCTTGGCAACTTGTGAATTCTCCAAGTGCTTATGTGACAAGAAGTTGTTTTTGAACAACCATAATATATAGCATGATAAGATAAGATAAGATTATGGCAATTCAAAATTAAATTTTTGCCACATAAGCACTTGGAGAGATCTCAAGTTGCCAAGGTGGACAATTTTTGTACAAGCAAAAAAATTAGTTAATGAGCTATTTATGGAGTTGTCCCTCTCTCTTCATTTAATATTTAATTCTCTTTTATCTAATAATTTTTTTGCTTTTGTTTTTGCATTATATCTCTAAATAATATATGGAGAGAAAGGTTATTAAACTGGTTTAGCAAGTGAAATGGTTTTATCAGTGGTACAATCGGTTGTGTCGTTTCATGCCAGTTAATAAAATATGTAGAAATATAAAAAATTATTAATATCAAATGAATTTAATCATATATAAACCATATTTGAAGACAATTTATGTGCAATTCATATTGATATTTGAATAAAATATGATATTTCAAATAAAATTACATTTACTCATACTTAAATTCACTAAAACTACGTATTTTACTAAGAAATTCGTAAAATGACCATACCGGTCATACCGATGGTGCATGTCGATTTCATGACCGGTACTGGTTGAATGGTTTGACCGGTGGCATGCTGACCGACGTAACAATCATGATGGAGAGTGACATATATCACATTTTGGTTTTGCATTATATCGATGTACGCAACAGTATACTAATGTTCGTAGAGTGACATATATATCACACTTTTTAAACCAAAAAATATATGATTAAAGATTACTATGTAAATTTCTGCTCATTTTTACTAAAACTTAATAATAATTTACATTTTAATGAATAATTTAAACAACCACACAAACATAATAATATTTTGTCGATAATGTCTGAAAGAAACTTGACAAAGAAATAACAGTTATTTATTAAAAAAAGCTTTTTATTCATTATGATCAAGTGAAAGCATATGAATCGCATGTGCAGTATTTATAATGTATCCTAAGTTCACATTACTATAATTTTCTCTAGGTCATGTTGATTGAGCAAGCTCTATTGAGGTCTTACATCATATGCTAAGAAATTTTCTTTTCAGACTTGGAGTTATTTATTGATAAAGATTATAAATTAAAGTTTCCAAAATGACTTGAGTATAATAGTTGATGAGCTTTGATTGAGACACGAGATCACTTGAAAAATAAAATGTGTGAAATTTAGAGAAATCTTTGTAAATGATGTACGTTAAACATCACATTTCATGCTAAGAAAAATCTAAATTCGAAGATTGAGTTAATAAATAAGCATTAATGTCTTACTTCACATATATAACAAAAAATGTTTATATTACAATAGTGTAAACCGAGCTATTGGGTCAAAAGAAGAATATTTAATAAATATGAGTTTAGTAAGAAAATTATAACAAGTCTATATAGTTGCGAGACTGTGATTTCATACCAAATTTTGGCAATAACAAAAATAATTGATATCATATTCCACCCAAGGAGCTGAGTTCAAAGGTATTAATTAGTGTTGAAAGTAAAATAAACTCTTTGTATATATATATGATGATGACTTCTTCGGTGCACTCACAAAAATGAGTGCGTTCAATACACCCAACTCAAAAGCTAGTCTTAAGGTGCCGGATTTTGAATTTTAATTTGCAGAATTAGTGTAATATGATGATATAACATACGATAACAACTAATTAGCTGATTACCCTAAGCCATAGACCTCCAATTTTGAGTTTTATCCCTAAACCCCAAATTGTAAATCCTAACCCTAACCCTAAATCTCTAAACTATAAATCCTTCAAATTAAAGTAAATCTTTAATGGGTTTTGTGCAAATTCATGTGTGTTATTGTTCATCACATCATAAGTGATGATTGACATCATTTTGACATAAATCGTATGTTTAAAATGACGGTTATGAAGCGAGTGCACTAAATGAACCCAAAAAAGTGAGTGCACCGAAGACGCCACCATATTATATATATATATATGGCAAAGGCTAGCGTACGCCCGGGCGTACCCTAGCCTACCGTACGCCCGTTGAGTTTTGCAATTTAGACAATAAATTAACCGGAGTTTGGGGCACGATACTATACCCTAACCCCTAATGGGTGAACCCCAGTCCGCAATTCACTAACCCAAATAATAATATTCATTTAATCTTGAAATGAAAATCAACGGTTCTGATTCGTCGAAATTATTGTTGATTTTCATTTTAAGATTAAACGAATCTCACGATTTGGGTTAGAAAACTAGGGACTGGGGTTTATCCATTAGTGGTTAGGGTATAGTATCATGCCCAAAATTCCGGTTAATTCCTTATCTAAATAGCAAAATTCAAACGGGCGTACGGTAGTCTAACGTACGCCCGGGCGTACGCTAGCCTGAACCATATATATATATATATATGGCAAAGGCTAGCGTACGTCAGGCGTACGCTGTACGCCTGTGTTCACACTTGGTTTTTGCACTTCAATATATTTCGTTGAATCAGAACCGTCGGTTGTTATTTTTTAGATTAAATGAATCTTGTGGCTTGGGTTAGAGAATTAAGAACTGAGGTTCACCCATTAGAGGTTAGGGTATAGTATCATGCCCAAAATTTCGGTTATTTCGTGCTCTAAATAGTAAAACTCGTCGCACGTACAATGTACGACTGACGTACGCTAGCTTGAACCATATATATATATATATATATATATATATATATATATATATTAACAATAGATGTGTCTATAATACATCCAATAATTTAAATACATGTGAAAAGTCACAATGTTTGTATGAAATTTTAAAATTTGCTACAAAATATTTTGTTAAAAAATTATAAGTTAATTATTCAAGGAATACATAATTTTGAATGCACCTGAAATATTTGTCTGTCGTATACACACTTTACCAATTATTAATATAAGTAATGAAATTTTTGTTCTAGAACAAACACCAAATATAAAGAAATTTTAGTGAATGGACATTCAAATAGTTGAAAAATTATACATTGAAGGAACATGTTAAGATGAGAACTTTCGATAGTGTATATGAATCCTTGGATTCAGATTCTAAACGAACATCTAGACAAAAGGCATGGGTTGGGGGTTAGTACAAACTTAAAATATTGGCAATTGTAATAAGTTGCTATACAAAGACTTCATGAACATCAACAATAAAAATGAGTGAGGTTTAGAGAATTTAATCATTATAAGGGATACGATGTGTTCAAATTTCAATTGGGATAAACATAATTTATCCAGTAATCAAGTATCTTTTTTCAATAATTTGAACTCTGATTAATTGGCTGAGAGTTCGTACAAACTCGAGAATCATGAATTGATATATGTTGTATAAGATAATCAATTTGAGCGTATTGGTGGAAATTTTTTTTATATATGATCCTAAATGGGACGTGATAAACCTTTACGACATGATTAGAGAATAAAAACATCACAAGCGAGTGTGCTAACTATTAAATAATATTCGATATAGGCATACCACATATTCACTTATGAAGCGAGAGCAGAAAATGTATACAAGATCCAAAAAGTTCAAACATGTAAATAAGTTAACTAATATAAATAATAAAATGAACTTTTCCGGCCAACTGGCGGGTAAAAAACTAGTTAATTAAATAGTTTTACAACATGCCCATAAACATATCATTAAAACAACCCCTCATCCATCTAGACATCTCAACGGCTTAAAATTTAAATGCCCTCTCCCAATATTCAATTACATATAATCTCTCTTCTATATATAGATGCATTGCTTTGATCGATGAAAACCCATCATTCCTTCATCACGAAAAGAGAAACCCAAAAATGGCAGTGGGAGAAGCAGCTGCAATGGTCGAGCCGCAGCTAGTGAGCAACATTAGCGACGGGAAGAGGGCAACGGCGACGAAATCGCCAACGTTTTCGCCACCGGAGGTTTCGTTTTTGGCAACGGAGAAAAAGAGAATTAGCGACGGCGAGGGGCGGCCAAGGGTGAGGAAGCTGAATGCGTACGATAGAATCGCGGTGGGCGCCGTCGCCGGGACACATCTGATGGCAATGTGCGCGCCGTTTTGCTTCAGCTGGGATGCGTTTTGGCTGACGGCGACGCTGCAATTGGTGACGGGGTTGTTTGGGATTTGCTTCTCGTACCATCGGAATCTCGCCCACCAGAGCTTCAAGCTCCTCCCTAAATGGCTCGAGTACTTTTTCGCTTACATCGGCGCCCATGCCCTTCAGGTTTTCTTAACTTTCACTTCTCGATCTCGAATCTCGATTTTCGTTTCTCTAAACTCCCGCGTCTTACCTAGGGATGGCAATGGGCGGGTTTGGGGCGGGTTTGCTTAAATCATCCTCATACCTATCTTCAAATACCCAAACCCATACCCGCCCCATACCCATGCGGGGGAATGTTTTGCAAACTCATCCCCATACCCGTGGGTTTCGGGTACCCATGGGTAATACCCATACCCGTACATCCAACATTATTATACCTAAAACTTACAAGAAAAGTTCTAATTATAACTTTAAACGAGCATATTATATCATGACATCAACAAAACACGGTCATTTTTTTAATATGGTTCAAATATTATGATCCTAAAATATCCATTAATACATAATATAGAGTATAATATTTTTCAAATTATTATGTTCTAACTCTGATACATCTAATAAATAATAATTAACTAACATAATCTTGTTGACAAGGGGGAAAGTGAAAGAGTGAAATGAGAATTGAAAGAAATGAATTAGATTTTGATTAAGGTGGTCACTCAATTGCATTTCTACTATTTATTTTCTCAAGTTATCCTCATCATCATTGATAGATTATAATTTGATGCACATATTTTTTTTTTATATAAGAAGAAATTATCTTGGTGGGACGGGTATGGGGATGGGTATGGGGCGGGGGAGGCTAAAACCATACCCGCCCCATACCCATCAAACTTTTTGCGGGTTTTACCCATACCCGGTCAAAGCGGGGATTCCCCGCGTTGACTGGGTCGGGGGCGGTCGGATACCCGCGGCCATGGGTTTGATTGCCATCCCTAGTCTTACCACTTCCGATACCAATCATACCACATTTTTACATGGTCATACTCATATCAGATCTCGAATCTCAACTTTTGTTCCTCTAAATTCCGCATCTTAGTACAGTACTACTTCTGATCATATCAGATAGTGGCATGATTCGTATCAGGGGTTGTAAGACACGAGTTTCGTAAGTTTTTACAATCGTTGAATTTTGTACCATAAACAATGGCGTAAACAAAATTTTGTTCAATGTGTCACCTCAATGCATCCATATAAAATTCATTCATAGCATATTACTCATTCAATATCGAAATGTGTTCTTCAAATGCTTCATTGTCGAAAATGTTCTTTCAAAATGTGGGTTTGATTGTTTGTTGTAGCAACAATAATAATTTTAGAAGTTAATGTGCCTATAAAAAAGTGTAAAAGTAGTAACGTAAATCAGAAAATCAATTGTAATTCTTCGATACATACTCGACTTTAGGATAAAATACTAATATAAATTTGAATCCTACTCAAAACACTCAAATATCTTTTTGTTGAATTGACCCACCTTGACAAGAGGTGGCTCCGTCACTGACCGTAAACCGAACATTTTTTTAATACTAGATTAAACTTTAGTGAGTAAATTTGTGTTTGCAGGGGGATCCATTAACGTGGGTGAGCAACCACAGGTTTCACCATCAATACACTGACACAGAAAGAGATCCACACAGCCCCATTGAAGGGTTTTGGCACAGTCATATGAGCTGGATCTTCGATTCAGCCATGGTTAGAGAGAAGGTAATAGTACTTAAAAAACGTTGTTTAGGATATCTAATACATTACTTAATTGTGTAATTAATGTATAAAGAAATGGGATTTGCAGTGCGGGAAACGAGACAACGTTGGGGACATGAAAAGCCAGGCCTTCTACAGGTGGCTTCGTAGGACTTACGCCTTTCACCCACTGGGACTTGCCCTTATCTTGTATGCCCTTGGTGGACTGCCCTACATCGTTTGGGGAATTGTAAGGCTATAGCTCCCCCTTTAATTGTGTTATATAATTTATAATGATTGTTGATCCCGAGGTTCAAATTCATGATACGATAGTAGATGATATCATTGTTTACCTTCAAATGTTAAACCGTTGCCACTGTTCCATCAGGGCGTGAGGGTAGTGGGCGTTTACCACGCCACGTGGTTTGTCAACTCAGCCGCTCACATATGGGGATCTCGAGTTTGGAACACCGACGACTTGTCGAGAAACAACTGGTAAATTACTTAATTATCATTGTCCCGTTCACGGTTATGGGTTTTCATGAAAAAAGATACACCAAACAAACAAGTTTGGTGGGTCTGGTTGAAGTTAGGAATGATTAGATCGGTCGACTCTTGGGGTACTATGACCCAATTGTCCTGAGCCATATGAGTATTGAATCATACCCAAATTAACTCATGCATTATTTATATGCGGGAATCGGGTTTAATTTGACTAAACTCATTTGAGTCCGTCCCAAATAGGTCTATTTGGGACTTTGAATTAAGATATTGTGCACACAAAATGACAATATCGATCATCTTATTAACTTATTAACTAACAATTTGTAACTATTACTTGTGTTGAACCAGGTGGGTGGCAGTTTTGACACTTGGAGAAGGTTGGCACAACAATCACCATGCGTTCAAGTACTCGGCAAGGCAAGGGCTGGAGTGGTGGCAGATCGACATGACTTGGTACGCAGTGAGGTTACTTCAAGCCATGGGGTTGGCTTATGACGTCAAGCTGCCGAGTAAGCTCCAAATGCAGAAGCTGGCCATGAAAGACCCAAACCAGTAGATGATGAACAACTACTTCAGCTTCATATATATAAACACACAGAAACATGAAGGATTAAAATATATTAATGGTTGAGATATTTTGAGAAAGGAAAAATCTAGAGGAAAGGAGAAGAAGAGTTGGACGAGAAAAAGTGGGAAGAAAGGAGAAGTGTCTAGAGAATAATAAAAAAATTAATATTTGTGCAGATTTTTAGAGGAATAAGGCGGTGGAAGAGTAGTATAAATAGGTTGGGTATGAACTTGTGTTGTGTGTGGAGTGAAGTGAGCAGAGTAAGAAAAGAAAGGAAGAGAGAGACGTGAGTTTGTGTGTAGGTGGAGTGGTGAGAGAAAATAAGGTGTGGTAAGGTATAGAGTTGTAAGAGTGAGCTTGAGAGAATTGTTAGTGTGTGATGTGTCTCAAAGTCATATGTGTGAGCTTGTTATAATATTACAAGTTAGTACTTGTATTAATAAAAGTTGTATTTTAGCTCACTAAATTCAACAAGTGGTATCAGAGCCAAGGTTATGCTGCGTATGCCTGTGGTTGCAGCCTAGTCTGAACTTCTACATAAGAAAGGTAACGTTGAGTATGCTCTGTGGTTGCAGCTAAGTCTGATCTTCCACATAAGAAAAGTTATCCTTGGAATATTTGATACATTGTTGAAAAGCTAACGGTCTAGGACCGTAGTTGTGCTACCAATCCGGGATTGGTAAAGCGAACCGTAGTTCTGCCAGTGTACACAGTCTGGGACTGTGATTCCATTTGGTCTGGGACCAAGTTTACATCAAGAAGAGTGTGATTATGGATGCGGTTGGGAGCATCAAGAAGCTCAACAACCAGAATTACAACACATGGGCAACGTGTATGGAGAAGCTCAACAACCAGGAGATTCTGGCAAAGAAAGGAAACAACGAGTCTACAGAAAATAAAGAGCAAGTACTCTTCACCAGTAGACAAAAGGGTCGGTTCATGAAGAAGAACTACCAGTCCACGCAAAATAGAGAGGAGGATCAACCAAGACAATGGAGGAGAAAAGAATTCCAGTCTAGAAGATTCTCACCACCAACTTTGTTCTATTCATCAGTGCCAACAAATTAATCACTTCAGGAGGGATTCTTGGCAAGCCCTTTTGGATTGCTCAATCAAGCTAGTGCTAATCTCTCACTATTGAAATCTGAATTAGTTTGTGCATTGACCACGTCAAAAGTATCCATTATTGATCTAGCTTGGTCTAACAAGTGGTATTAGATCCCGACTCCCTCAAAAAGATCAAAAGATCTGCGAGGAAACTGAGATCCGATATACCAAGCATGGCTAGTGGGTCATCTACAAATCATGGTTCTAATTCTACTCATATGGAGGGTCTTTCATATGTTAGACCACCATGGTTTGATGGATATAGTTATTCCTTTTGGAAAACACGTATGATTGTTTTCTTTAAAGGGATGGGTTTTGACGTTTGGAATGTAGTTGAGAATGGTATGGGTGATATCAAAGATGATCCCAACACATGGTCTAGCGATGATCTAAAAAAGATGGAGTTAGATGCTAAAGAAACAAATGATGACTTGCACTTTCCCATCTCGGATCCCCACGAGCCTGAGCATAGCTGGTAGGTACAATAACGGGATCAACCTGAAAAGTGGCATAGTCATTAAGATAGGTAGGCGGCTGGCCCAAGTTAGCCCGTAGCGAGCGCCGAGGAGGGATGACCGGAGCTGGAGATGATGACGGGGAAGACTCCAGAGACGATGGTGGTGTCGAGGGGGCGGGAGAGGAGGCATCCGTCAAGGGAGTGAGCGGGCTAGGCGGAGAGTCCGGGTCGAGGCCATCATTAGCATCATCAACATCAACATCATCAGGGAACGAGGGAAGACTCAAGGTGGAGGCAAATAGAGGAGGAGACTCAGACGACGAAGAGGAATAAAACATCAAATTCTCAAAGAACACTACGTTGCATGCGGTACGAATCCGACGAAGAGCAGGGTCATAGCACAAGTATCCCTTATGAATGTCGCTATACCCTAGGAACATGCAACGAGCTGTTTTAGACGTAAGTTTAGTACGTTCAGACCTGGGAAGAAGGACGAAACATAGACAACCAAAAACCCGAAGACGCGAATATGGAGGATGGTGACCAAACAGCCGAAAATAGGGACTCTCTTGGCCTAAAACTGGGGTAATTTGATAATTGATCAACCGAACAGCAGTGGACACGGTTTCAGGCCAAAAAGAAGAAGGGGCACGAGAAGCCAATAAGAGAGCCCTAGTAACTTCAACGACATGTCTATTTTTACGCTTGACAAGACCATTTTGTTGAGAAACACCAGGACGGGATTTTTGGGTTAGAATACCGAGGGAGCGATACAACTGAAGAAGGGGAGTGGAACTGAATTCCCCACCAGGATCGGAGCGGACTACACGAATTGTTCTATTAAACTGTGTCTGGATCATTTTGAGGAATTCTGTAGCAATGGACAAGAGTTCAGACTTGAGACGCAAGAAATAGACCCAGGTATATCGAGTGGCATGGTCCATGAACAAGGCAAAGTATTTGTAGCCAAGACGAGAGATAGTGGGACTAGGACCCCAAAGATCTGTATGAATCAGGTGAAACGGTTCGGTAATAGTAGTAAGACTCGAGGGAAAGGAAATACTGGTAGCTTTGGCTTCCACACAACTAGTGCACGAAAAATCCAAGGAATGAGCTACTTTATTACCAAATAATTTCTGTTTAAACATAGTAACGAGACAAACAGAGTTGGGGTGGCCAAGGCGATCATGCCACAACTTAAAATTCCTAATACCAGGACTCGACAGCATAGAAGGAACCCTAGACACCGAAGATACGGAACAAGATGGAGACACCGGAGACATTGAGGATGCTTCAAGCTTCTCAAGATAAAATAGTCGCCCTTGTTTACTACCCTTGCCTATCTCCCGCCCCGTCTTCAGATTTTGTACAGAACAACCAAAAGGTGCAAACACAACACGACAACCTCGTTCAGTTAACTGGCCCACCGAGACTAAACTAGGAACACGTTTAGGAACATAAAAGGTGTCAGGCAAGGTCACATCACAATCATTAACCGAACCCCTGCCCGAAACTGGTATTCGAGAGCCATCAGCAACTTGGAGGGAAATATCATTGACAAGTACTATATTTTTCAAGGCATCACGATGATTTGTCATATGATTAAAACAAGCAGAGTCCAAAATCCAACGTGGAAGCTTACCCGATGCCTGAAGACTAGCAAAGGTTGAACTGATGGCCTTGTTAACAAGCTACTCAAGAGCAGCCGGTGTGACCATCATCCCTTCGCTGTTCGGAGCTGGTTGAGTGGCATATGCATGGCGAGACGAGCCCGGACCTCCACGATGCTGAGCTGATGATGTATTTCCACCGTGGGATCCATTGTGACCAGGAGATCGGGAACCAATGGAAGGGCAGTCGGGAATAATGTGACATGTTTGTTTATAGTAAACACAAAAATTCTGACGACGGCAATACCTTTTAGTGTGACCATTTGCGTGGCAGTGATGGCACTCGATATCACATCGGGGAGCTTGGAAACGGTACGTAGCAAAGGCAGCAGCATCCTCGGGTCCCACCGGCGCGGCAGACGACCTAGCCGACTAGACCACAACAGCACTGGTCGGAGGTGGAGCTGATCCTCCCTGGGCGACAGCAAAAATCGTCGGCTCACCATGACTGGGCCGCGCGTCGATCACGGCCTGCGTGCGAAGCCTTGTTTCCTCACGTAGCAAAGCCCCAATAACCTGCTCCAGCTGAAGTCCTTTGCGGTTAAGGAGAGTGGAGCGCACTGCCTCAAGGTCAGGCCTAAGACGCGCCAAAAACTGCAGCAGCCGGGTCTTGTTTCTCTAGGCCTGAAATTCAGCCGAGGCCATGCCGGACAGGAGAGCAGCAGCGAGAAGGTCTTGTTTTGTCCACGGGAGCTTGGCCGCATTGTAGTAGGTAGTCACGTCCTGGTCTCCCTGCTGAAGATTGGCAAGTTCGATTTCTATTTCAAATTGGCGGGCCACGCTTGTAGAAGAATACGTAGCCTTTAGCGACTGCCACTCATCGGCCGACGTTGGGAGAAGACGAAGGCCGAGCACAATCGACGGATCGACGGACTTCAAGATCCACGAACGAACTTTGGCATCAGACTGCATCCACTTGGCGAGCTCCTGATCGGTAGCAGGAGGAACAGCAGGTTTCGTTGCGGAACCGTCAAGAAAACCAAAGAATCCTTGACCTTTGATGAACGTACGGAACTGGAATTCCCACAGCGCGAAGTTCTTCGAATTCAGACGGGTGTTGATATGATCCGATTCCATAGGCTCTGATACCCTGTTAGGAACCATACTACGAGATTGAGGAACTAAACGAGAATCGAAACGAGACGGTGTTTACGTGGTTTCCTTGTTCGATCTTGATCGAACAAGACTAGTCCACGGGAAGGAGCTGTATCTTTCTTATTTCTCACTGAGTTCCAACGTCACATCTGCAATACACATATATACAACTCGGCTATGCTACTCTAACCCTAGCCGAGGAAGACTAGCCCTTTAGGGCACTCGGACCTCAACTCCAGGTCCATGGGCTAAAGCCCATTTGCAATACGTCATAACTCAACACCGCTTATGTGTCCTAAAGTGAAAAGGAAGCAATAACGTAGTCATCTACAATACGGTAACTTATAACTACTTATTATCTATCATATCTTTTTTTTTTAAGTAGTCATCTACAATATGGCTGAAACAAGTCAACTACGTTTTGAGGGAGCACTTCTACTATGCTATATAGTATTGGTGCTTTAATGTACAACTTAAAGTTGTACCATAACATTAAATGTATAAGTTTAGGTTGTACCATAAAGCAATTTGTACCATTATGTTATGGTACAACTTTACAACTTGAAGTTGTACCATCACATAAAGGTACAAGTTCAAGTTGTACCATAAAAAAAATTGTACAAAAAGTATAGGTACAATCTGAAGTTGTACCATAACATAAACGTACAATTTTAATTTGTACCATAAAAGCAAAATCCTATAGCACTAATACTATATAGCATTGTAAAATTTCTCCGTTTTGAGGTAGTTCTTTTCTTAATCTAAACGAAATTTTCTAGTGGTTTACGATGAACAAAACTATGGAAATATCAAATTTTAGTAGAGAAGAGTCATTGGGGCCACCACCAGTTGGTTGAAATTAAGAATCCAGCCGGCCGACATGGTGATTTCTGCACATGAACGATGAATCAAAAGACGAGATGGCCGCTGCATGGGCGCGACGTGGCCTCAAAATTGTCAAGCCAAAGAAATGGACTCGGACTTGGTCCATGTCCATTCACCTCTCACTAGGAAATAGGAATGGCAATGGCAATGGGCAGTAGTGATGGCAATGGGTGGGCGGGGCGGGTACCTCAATTCCCATGCTCCGCCTCATGCTACTATGAGTTGGGGCGGGTAAAACCCGCACAGGTACGGGGCGGGGCGGGTTGACCCACTCTTATATGTTGTTCAAAAAAAAAATACAAGTAAATTTTACTTTTTACAATAAAACGTAGGGAAAAACACTTTAAGAATGAAAAATATTGATAATAGAATGGATAATTGAGCATAACAAGTTGAAAGATCGACTCTAACTAGTTGAAGAAAAGTCAAAATAGGAGAAACAGGGTCGTCCCATTATATTCGGAGGCCCTGTTCGAAAATTTAAATGTGGCCCCAAATTTTTTCTCACAAATTTATTAAAGATAAAAATTATTAGATAATAATAAAAACTACATATCTTCAAAAAATTATTACAAATTAATAATATTATATATTATCTACACTTAGAACTACCTTTTTCAAATTTTTGGATTGATATAATTATAAATTATAACCAAAGATTAATGATTCCAAATTTTCATATAAGTTCTTTGCAAAAGAAAAGGATAAATATTAGAACTTAAAACAAGCTGATTAAGAGTGAACCTTTTCAACAATGAAACATGTGAAAACTGATTTACGCAACAACTTGAGCAATGAATTTCTCGCCGATTGATTAACTATGTTATTTGAAACATAGTATGTTAATGCATTCGCCAAATTAAAAGACCGTAATGTACAATAAATAGATTCCTCTTGGCTTGGGGGACTATTTCAATTGCTGATAGAGTGCTTCTCTTATTCAGGGCTCTTTGCGTTAGAGAATGCGACTTCCAAGGATTATATCAATACAAATGCACTTCAAGCGGATAAGATTGAAGCTTTTGCTGGTGACATTGTAAAAAAAATAGGATCGTATATATTTTTTACAGTATATAATTTTGTAATGAACTGCGACCCAGTACTCTATTGTGTTCTGTATCCGCCGCTGCCGTGGCAGGTCGGGTCCAGGTTGGATGATTTATCATGGGTCACGGGTTGGTGCAGATCGACCCAATGAGTAAGCAATTTATATGGAAAACATTAGAAATATTCTCTATTTTCATTATAAGACAAAGAAAACAAATCATAGTATGATAAATTTAGTTAAATTATTGGAGAAATTAAGGTTTTCACTTATTTATAACTTTATTATAGCTAAAATATGGTGTAATGAAAGGAAAATACTAAGTAATTGACTAAAATTACATGTAATTTAGGCAAGAATGGTCGAGAATGGGGCGGGTAAGGGCAGGTTGGGTCGATGAGAGTACCCATACCCTCCCCGACCCTCCTACGAGGCAGGTCGGACCCGCCCCAAAATAGGCCAAACAGGTCCAGAAAATCGGGTCAAGTCAAAATTACCATCCCTACCTCTCACTTTCCAAAGCAAGAAAACGGTCGCTAAAAGGTTTTGGCGACACTTTATCCGATGGCGAAAATCTTATCGGCTAGTAAATAGTATAATATACCATATAACTAGGCATACATTAATAATTCGAATTATTAAGAATAATTGGGGTCATCTATCAGTTAATAACTCGACTGGCATGGAGAAAATTTCACCACCCCATCCCTCCCGGCCGGGGTCCAGTAAATTTAAATTTATTGTTAAAATCACTTTTGGACTTTGGAGTACTAGAAGTCTAGAACTAGAACTATTAGCCGTATTAAATTCACCGACGAGAATTTTACCGACTGGAATTGGTCATCTCGTTAGTTAACATACATACCCGTGGAAAAGAAGTTGGCAATGGGACCGATCATATCCAGTTGTCTACTACAACTGAACTGCAGCTCAATTGACTCTATGAAACATATGTCGAGTTATTTTGATAAGTTGGCTCTCGATATAGTATCAAAGTGTACTTTTATTATGATGTTTTGTATTTGAATTCTCGCATACAGTCAATATTAATAGTCGATAAAAAATCATATAGTATTAACGACATATATAATCTTCAAACTCATAAGTTGACTTTTCGTTTGATGGACGCTTAAGGAAACAATATAAAATTCATTGTTGATATTCACCCAACATTTCAAATTGTTAGGATAAGCAATTCCTCGACAATTATCACGTAAAAGTTACAACTTACAAGTGACTTCTTTTCCATTTGAGTTGTGTTGAGATGGACTGCTATTTTGTACGGAAGAGTGTTGCTTCTCAACAGATTACGCCACGGAAGACAACAACTATGGATCAAGTTGCTGACGTTTTCACGAAGGGTCTTGGGGTTGACTAGTTTTCCTAACCGGAACTTCTCGATATTCAAATTGGGTCTTGGGGTCGGACTTCCAAACTCGGACTTCACAATATTCACTCCTCGACGCGAGGGGGAGTGTTAATGTCTAATGTAACATTATTTACATTGATGATTAATTTGTAGTGTATAAATATTATCCGAAAATCCTAACGCCATAACCTATGTATATAACTCCATGTATGGCAGACAAAGGATGTAAGATCCTACAAGACCAAGCCTCTAATAAGATTTCAGACAAAAACTTCTGCGTCTTCCGTGGATTAGTCCTGATTATAGGAGAAACCACATATACCTTGTGTATTTGTGTTATTGTTTTCCGTTCGTTCATGTTATTTTACAAGTTACCCCGCTAAAGGGATCCAAGCATAGGAGTATCAAGTATCTAGTATTACAACTACGGTGGCATCGGTCTATTCCATTCATAGTCGAATCGAATTGAGATAGGAACCGAACAAAATGGAAAGGATAATGGTTGATTTGGTTCGACTCTTTACTTTGAGACGTCAAGTTGGGAACCAAAACTTTTGGCCTTTCTCTTCTTTCCCTTCTTGCTCTCCACAACATTCACATTGGAACTTGATGGTGCCTCCGAATTCAGATCCTTGTCACGGATACGAGTTTCCTCCTCGATCCTAAGGTGCTTCTGAATCTGCTCCAAAGTGAACTCCTCTGACGTATGAAGTAATTTCTTCCTATAGTTGCTCAATGATGGAGGCAACTTCACAATAATTGCCCCCACCTGAAACGCATCAGGAAGAGTTATCTTCAACGCAGTTAATTTAGAGGCCAAGATTAGGAATTCATGAACTTGATCCAGAATTGAACGCTTATCAGTCATACTAAATTCAAAGAACTGGAATGTGACAAACTTATATGCGCCTTATTTCTCTGATTTGTATTGGTTCTCCAAAGATGTCCAAATCTCAGTAGGGGTCGCCAACTAGGAATACAGATCGTAGAGAAGATCAGAGAGTGAATTGAGGATGTATCCTCGACACAACAGGCTGTAATCACTCCTCTTCTTGCGCTCAACCTTCAATTCATCAGAGTCAATGTCTTGTGGTTCTCCTAGCGACACCAAATCAGGATCCAGTATGTACACGATCTTCAAAGCAGTCAACATAAACTTCATCTTCTCTTGCCAGCGGGTGAAATTGGTTCTATCAAACCGTTTGAGTTTGTTGGAATCAGAGGCATACGCCTTCAAAGTGCTCTCCACTCCAGAATCCATTGTCACACGAAAATAAACACTCTAAGATTGTCAGGGAAACAGTATGGAGAAAACGGATTGAAGGCGTGATTTTGATCACTCTCCTTAGAGTGTTTATTTGCCCCCACTACGTTGTTGCTGGTAGGATTTAGGCAAACCATCCCCAGGAGTCCCTCCAATCAAAGTCAGAAAGCAACACCTTTCGTGACTTCTATGTTTGTGTTTTTGGAGAAGGAAAAACGAGGAGAAGAAGACGAACGTTGGACGAGAAGTTTGGTTGCAAAAGACTTTTATAGTGAAAACGGCAGTTCCCTTCCGAAGGGTTACGTCATTTCGCAAAAGTCAAAAATTAAATAATTATCCGGATTAATTAATTAGCCAAAAATTTAAATCCGAACGCGTCGCACAAACGTGCCAAGTGCTAAGTGCGTAGTGCGATTTAATATGTCAAATTAAATAGCCCACACTTTTTCCAAAAGCCCACTAACCACTTTATCCAATAACTAAAGTGGAAAGCAAACTTAAAAACAACTTGCACTTTCCTTCTCCCACCAATGTGGTATTTCCTTTACTCTTTGACTACTCTAACAATCCCCCACTTAGTCAATAAGAGTCGAGAATACATGCCTCGAACAAGTAACGCATACATAAAGGTATCTTTTCGATTTGAACCTTTACTTAGTATAAGCATCTCAAAGTTCATAGCGAATCAATGACGGGCTTAAGCCTAGGAGTCAAGATCCAAAGCTAGAACTAGAGACACCACACACTTATTCATCTCTTCTCTAAAACACAACCACCAACAAGGGTAGCACTATTATGGCCATGTGCTTATCCTGTTTCATGAGCATATACAAAAGTTGACCTTTACTTTTGTTAGAGTGGCACCACTCCAAATGCTCACATAGGTGACATTCCAAATGAACGTCATTAAGAGTTCTATAACTCACCATTCTTACAACTAATTTACTTGTACAATAAACTAGTTCCCAGTTAGAGTAACTTGTTATTACCACATTGAACCTTTTAATTAGTGAATATCTAAAGAAAAGGTTGGCTTTCCATTACTTCTAATTATACAAAAGGTATCAATCACATCCCTTGGGATATCTCATATATCATGCCTCTTGGCAAACCCTTTGTAAGAGGATCTGCCAAATTGTTGCACGACCTTACATACACAATAGAAATGATTCCGTTAGTAATCAAATACCTAACGTAATCAGGTCTCAGGCTAATGTGTCTAGACTTACCGTTGTAAATCTTGTTATAAGCTCTAGACAATGTAGCCTCATGACACGCCAAAACACAACACCAATCTGCGACCAAGTGTAATCGCAGACCGGGAATGCAGTAACAGGCAAGTTATATTATCAACCCGGGGTCTAGATCTACTGCTTACTCAGTGATTCTCTATTATCTAGCCAACTAAAGCAAGTGATTGTTGTTTAAAAGCAAAAGATGAAAGAAAGCAGGAATTGATACGGTTTTCTCAAGCAGGTAAGAGTCACTCGGGAATGAGTCCCCCTAGCTCCTTAGTTAGGTTCAATTGCAATTCCCCTGGGTTGATTTACTGTTGATTAGACTGCGGAAGATCCGGCAGTAGCATGGAATCTCTTAAGCTAACCAAGCCCTCTCAGTCTAACTACCCGGCAGACGACTAGTCTTCACCGGGATAGAAAGCTGAAGCAGTAAGAACAGAACTCCACTACTGGAATTGGATTCTAGTACAAAGCAGTAAACTGACTAACTCTCGTATAGCCAATCTCCTACTATCGAATGATGAGACTCTAGCAACCTAATCAGATTCTATCTATCTCAGATTGCAGCAGGAATCAGGAAAAGTTGATCAGACTTCAATTGACTCAATAAACATGCATCATTCGATTAAAATCAAACAGTAATATCATCCCAAGTCATTACAATCAATCCCTAACACATAGAACTAGGGTTCTTCATCCCCAAGTGAGATAAGGGTTCTACTCCATAGAGAGAGAGACGAAAACAGTAATCGGAGTAGTCATACTCATAAAGATGAGGAAAATCTGCTCCGGGATGATGATTTCCACTCCTAGGACGATCTCCAAGCTCGATTCGATGAAACCCAGCTCCAAGATGGCTTCTATGGTGAGTTCTTCGTCCTTTCTCTCTCTAGGGCTCTATTTTTGCTCAAGAAATTCGATTCCCTTTCCTTGGCTCGATTCTGGCTTCAAAAACCCGACTCTGGGCGAAATACGGGCAGAATTACGGTCGTAATCACGGCCTGCCCGTAATTCGCCCAAAACGCGCGTTTCACTTTACTCTGATGGAAGAGGAGCGCCCGTAATTTCCAATTACCGCCAGTATTTCATGAATTACTGTCGTAATTTGGTGGATGCTTGCCCGTAATTTTAGTGCCGAGAAGAATTCTTGGAAAAGTGGCTCGGCATTGGTTTTACGGGCATGCCCTGACCAATTACGGTCGTAATTTGGCAGGGGCTGCCCGTAATTTGGCCAGTGAATCACCATCTGACCTCCAAATGACCCGAAACTTGCGCCTATGCACCTCTTTACTTGCTAGGACCTGAAATACGACAAAACAACACAACCTAGCGTAAAATAGGCCAAGGAACAATCAATTCAAGCTAAAATGGATAGGAAACCAGAGTGAAAACACGTGCAAATACGATGCTATCAAATTCCCCCACACTTAACCGTTTGCTTGTCCCCAAGCAAACCAAGTCAAACACAAGGTAAGCTTACATATTTCAATCAACCAACATTGGGGACAAGTCATAAAGGCACAGAACACGTGAATCGTACTGGTTTTCAAACATCAACACATGAGCAACTTCAATATCAACCTGGACAACCACCACAAAGGACATTAGAGTGCAGCAAAATCGAGTAAAGGAAGAGTCTCCCCTTCTGTTCACCAACCAACCTAGACTTGACTCAACCACTTACTCAAAACAGTCAACTCATGCATCCAACTCAAAACATCGGAATAGAGACCGAGCAATCTAGGTCCTCAACGGGAAACAAGAGAGTATATAATATGAAAAATGAATCACTCACTCTCGACCAGTGGGGTCAGGACAATTTGATGCGAAAAATGTGCATGTTATTTCTCTCAATCCCTAACATCTCTTCACCATGATGGCAGCCTCTAAATGCTAGAGCTCACATATGGGGTGTCACCACTAACTAATCAGGAGGTCTTAGACACAGGTTCAAATGATTGGCTAGGGTCTTGGACATGGGGAAAAGGCCTTTTAGGTGGTGGAAGTATTCATAGCACAAGGTTCCACATTTCCAAACCCAAACAATCACAGTCAAACAAACCGGTATTTCCTTTCTGCTATTCTGCATTACTCAATATTTCAAGAGCACAAGAGCGAAGGAGGTATAAATGTCAGCATTTCCAAGCCAGACTGCTAAGAAACACTACTTACTGGGCATTATTCAGATTTTTGGTAGTGGCTCTCTTTGCTTTCAATTTTCCTTTGTTTTTTCTTTTATTTTCTTTTCATTTCTTAAGAGAGCCACCACTTCTGCATATATTTCAAACACATGCCCAGCCCAGCTTTTAAGCACTACCTCCAACACTCACAACAAATTATTTAGCAGAAACATCAGAGAATATGTAAAAACCACTCTGTGGAACCTTCTAAAAGATGCAAACGGGTGATTTTTTCATTTCAGACCAAAAGAAAGGATAACACACGACTCAAAAGGGCTGACTAGGGTATATGACACATCAGGACAGTCAAATTTGGTCGTGGGCTAATCCTATGCCCCCATCATCTTAGCTAGTGACAACGTGAATGCTACACATCATGGAAGAGAGATCTATCGCACAAGAAAGAAACGAGCAGGCTCAAATCTCACATGGCTACCTATATGCTCTATCTCACATTCTGATACCCTGAACTAGATGCATAAGAGACTGTCAAGAACAAGTAATCAATCCAAGTCACAGTTGGTAAGCAAACAGTTGAAAAACTGAACCCCTACACAATTCTACTGCACGTCTCAGTCCTCATCACAGGTTGTCCTAGTCACAATCAAGTTGTCATGCATCAATCCGAAAACCATTCAATTCACCAATCAAATCACAGTGCCAATATGATCAACCAGCAGTACGTGGAGCCCTCAAATCGTAAGATTCGGACAGCGGACTAGGCTCCACGCACCCATATATACGTTCCAATAAATACAAAGAACCCCCCCACACTTAGATGCGACAGTGCCCTCAATGGAGCAGAGGGAAGGGGAACGATGTTACCGTGAAACAGTGGTCAGGAACGTTGACTGGATGGCGGACCAGTCAATCGCAGAGGACTGGACAAGGACCAGTCCAACGGGCACAGAGCTAGAAGCAACAAAACACACACATGGGGTGAAAGAAATCATAGTTCCAAGTCTACAATCCACACAACGGGAACAAGAAAGAAAAAAACCAAACACAATCCGGAGTCGAAGTCTGGAAAGAAAGACAAAAGCCGAGCCCAACTAGATGGGCTAGCAAAGCCAGCTCAGGGCTCATCGCCTCCATCGCCAGTGGGAGGCGGGTAGTAGTCCTCATGCCCCGGGGACTCCTCCCAAGGGTAGCTAACAGCAGCCGGATCCATGTCCCTGTAGCTCATCATGTAATGCTGAGCCGAAATGATGCGGCGGCGACCTTCGCGCTCACGGTCGAGGCGGGCGTTGAGGTGCTCCTGGCCAGCAAGGATCTGCTCATTCTGGCGGGAATGGCCGCCAGCTGCTCGGCAATGTAAGTGGTGGGTGTGGCAGCAGATGGGCCGGCAGCAAAGGTGGAGGTGCCAGGCGCAGAAGGAGTGTTCCGCCGACGACAAGTGGTCCGATGGGCTGCATCATCACTCGCCTCGGGGAGGTCCTCACCCTCTGGTGCACGAGGAACAGGGTAAGGAAGGCCCCGGATCCAGATCACGTCCCCTTCGTGCTGCAGTATCAGCTGGCGCCGTAGGGTTTCCCTTGAGAAGGGCTTCACGGGCTGTATGAGAGTGAACCTGGAGAGGTCGATGTTGTAGTACCGTGCCAGGGCAGTGACCACCGACCCACACGCCAGGGGTCGAACACACCGAGAAGCCTTGACGACAGTCCTGGCAATGAGGGAGGACAGATGGAGGTTGTCCACCTCGTGGCTCATGGAGTGCAGGCAATGCAGGGTGCGGAGCTGAAGATGACTGGTGGAGCCCTCGCTGGGGGTGTAAGACTTCCCCAACAGCTGGTTGATTATGCGCCACTCTGGGCGCAACTGAGTGGCCGTGGTGTAGCCCGGTGTGAAAACAGCGCCTGAGAACTCCGGGAGGCAGATCCTCTCGAAGAACTGCTGGTCCCAAAAGATGGGACTGTCGGGCTCTTCGATTTCCAGGTGACAGGCGAAAGGTGGAAGGAGCCCCAGTGCCCGACCAAAGTCATCATAGCTAAGGGAGTAAAACTCGCCTCCGAGGCGGAACTGGATGGCGTTGTCGTGCGCGCCCGTGTGGGTCCGGAAATGCTCGAAGGTAGAGTAGAACTCCCAGAGGAGCTCCTGATAGATCGGCTCAGCGAGGCAGAGGAGGCGGCGCCAAGAGTAAGCGCGGATGGCAGCCTCCATTGCCTCGCGAGCACCCAGCTCCTCGAAAACCCTCCAATCGAGGTAATGGTGCTGAACGACTTTGCGGCGTCGGATGTCCTTCAGAGTCTTCCTCTGGTCGGCGTCGAGCATGGTCAAGTAAGTGTTCATTTTCCTCCAGCCACAAAACAGCAGAAACCCAACAACATACATGGAAATTCGTCAATGGTGAGGTCACAATCATCCTCACCCGGGGCCCTCGAATCATAAGTTCGGACAGTGGACTAGGCCCCAGGAAGGTAAAAACATTCACAACCAATCAGAACCATTCACCATTCACACAAACTCAAACGCATTTGGAGCCCTCGGATCATACACCCAGACAGCAAATTAGGCTCCAAGCGGGGCAACCACAACTCATATATACTCGGTAGGTGATGACTCGGTATTTGCACATGTTTTCCCCTTTGTTTCTTGATTGTTTGAGCTTGAATTATCGTGTCTTTGGCCTATTTTATGCTAGGTTATGTTCCTTTGTCACATTTCAGGTCCTAGCACATAAAGTGAAGCATAGGCGCAAGTTTCAAGTCAATCAGAGATCAATTGACGATTCAGGAGAAGAAACTCGGGTATGACCTGAAGAAGAATGGATTTATACCTCACTTTATGGACAAAGAATCATGCAATATTTTCATGAAAAGAAAGAGGACGAGACTACGAGCGTCTGGGATCAAACGGCGACTGATTCGGAGTCCGGACGAGGGAGAAACTAAGCATTAAACAGAGGCTGAGCAAGCCACACGGGCACAATCCACACGGCCGTGTGACCTGGCCATGTGGCCGTGTGGGAATCACCGAGCCTTCACACGGGCAGCTGGGAAAGCCACACGGCCGTGTGAGTCGGGAATTGCTGTTTAAAACCCGATTTTCAGCAAAAGGAAAGGGGGAGAGCTGGGTTTTGGATCCCAAACACCCAAGGGACGAACCCTAGAGAGAGAGCGACTTGGGAACATTCTTGGAGCTATTTTGGAGGATTTCTTCGCCATTGGAGCTCGGGAATCAAGCTTGGAGATGGAGATTGAAGATCTAGATCAGATTTCTACAGTTTCTCTCTTCTCTATGGAGTAACTTCCCTTCACTTAGGTTTTGAGGAACCTTAGTTCCATGAGTTAGGATCTTTCTTGTATGAAGTTTTGGATGCTATATTGTTTGATTATAATCGAATGATGCATGTTTATTGAGTCAATTGAAGTCTGATCAACTTTTCCTGATTCCTGCTGCAATCTGAGATAGATAGAATCTGATTAGGTTGCTAGAGTCTCATCATTCGGTAGTAGGAGATTGGCTATACGAGAGTTAGCCAGTTTACTACTTTGTACTGGAATCCAATTCCAGTAGTGGAGTTCTGTGCTTATTGCTTCAGCTTTCTATCCCGGTGAAGACTAGTCGTCTGCCGGATAGTTAGACTGAGAGGGCTTGGTCAGCTTAAGAGATTCCAAGCTACTGTCGGATCTTCCGCAGTTTAATGAACAGTAAATCAACCAAAAGGAATTACAACGTGGACCTAATTGAGGAGCTAGGGGGAATCATACCTAAGTGAGTTCCCAAACTGTAATTAGTAGTTTTACTTAGTTTAGTTAGTAGAGTAGTTTAGTTAATCAATCCTTAATCTAGTTTGCTAGATAATGAACTGAAGCTGAGTAATAGTAACTCTAGAGACCCGTGGATTCGATATTTATTACTTGTGCCACTATACTGCAGTCCCTTTCATTGGTTACACTTGGCCATTGTTAGGTGTTGTGTTTTAGAGCATCAAGTTTTTGGCGCCGTTGCCGGGGACTTTCTAGAGTATTAGGAAAGGAAGAAGTTTGTTACTTTAGCGTTTTTATTTTCTTTTCTTTTCCACCCTTGCTTTTCACTTGGGTGTTTTTGTTTTTGTTGGTGCAGATCTGAATTATGGATCCTAATGGCTTCTCCAATCATTGGGGGTATCCACCACCATCTGGGTGGTATTACCCCGAGACTCCCTACAGCAATCAAGGAGGAGAAGACTATGGATTCGGGTTCCAGTACGAACCCCCTTTCTACGGAGAACAACCAGACCCCTGGGCATATCAAGAACAACCTCATTACCAAGAAGACTTTCTCCCACAACCAGAAAAGCCATCGGAGCTGGAGTTACCCATGGCGGCCTTCACGGGCCACTCTGCAGAGCCATGCTACACTTCACTGGAGGATCCGAACGAACAATTAAGGCTTCTCGTGGAGCAGTTTGCTCGAGACACTGAGAGATCATGCTCCAAGATGGATCTTCAAATCAAAGCCCTTGCTGCTTCCGATCCCTCATTTCTCCATGATATGGAGGAGACTGTTCAGCGCTCAGCAAAGCAAACAGAGTGGGTGGAGCAAGTTTGCTCACATCTTGCTCAAGATCACCTTTCTGCTACCACACTAGAAGAGGTGGAGGATGACAAAGGCTATGGGAGCGTTGAGGAGCATACAGAAGTTATCACAGAGAACTCCCATGATAACCATGATCAGGAAAGTCCTTTGGTTGCAGACCACACCTTTCCTCATTTATGCTCTAACATGCTGGGCCCGTGCGAGGAGATGCAAGATGATCCCATTGAAGAAATTGCTTGGCGACTTGCTCTCCAATCTGTTCTAGAAGAAGAAGAGCGAGCAAGGATGAGGAAGGAAGTTGTGGATGATGAGGAAGAAAGAAAAGAAGAGGTGGTTCTTGATCTTTTCCCAGGGGAGAGACCACATTTTGAACAAGGAAGGGGAGTTGAGGAAGCAATTGGCGTCCAGGCTGAGGATGAAGTTGAGGTGGAAGAGGCATGCACCGGCCATGAGTTGCAAGTAATATCCCCACCAAACTTTGAGGAACTGCTTGGCAAGGACCCATTTGCAGTGTCTCTTTGCCAGACCAAGGCCACATCGACATCGGTCCCTCTTGGTGGACGCGATGGTGGTCGGTCGATGCTGTCATATCTGGTTTGGGGCAATGAGACAAGAGAAGAGAATAAGAGGTCTCGAGGGTGGAGACTTCATCTGCATCAAGTACATGAGCCTTCATCACCTGCCACACCACATGCTCGTGACTTGAGACTCCACCTCATCGACGAGAACCTCAACTTCAAGGAGGTTCTAGCATGGACCGAAACTTAGGAGCCATCGTCCGGCTCACGACGTGAAAGAAGCGCTTGTTGGGAGGCAACCCAACCAGTCGGTTTGCATTTCTTTCTCTATTTCTCCTTGGTTGAGTCAGTTTTGTTTTTGGATTTTAGAGTCAATAACTCAACCTTTGTGAGATTTTGTGTGGTGTTTGTGTTCTGATTACTCTCTCTTCCTGGAATGCACTGCCTGACCCATACATAATCATTCACCCTTGATCTGGTAACTTCGTTCTACCCTCCTTATCTTTCCTCCATTGAGGACAATGTCGTGCTTAAGTGTGGGGGGGGGTGTTCGATTATGTATGCGGGTGAATGTTTGGCTGTTTGTGTGCTTGGAGCCTAGTCCACTGTCCAAATTTTTAAATTTGAGGGCTCCAAGTACGTGTTTCCTTGCAAATTTCCTGCTCAGTATGCTTTGAATTGACAGTCTCTATAGTAATGTGCAATCTTGTCATGAAAAGAAAGAGGACGAGACTACGAGCGTCTGGGATCAAACGGCGACTGATTCGGAGTCCGGACGAGGGAGAAACTAAGCATTAAACAGAGGCTGAGCAAGCCACACGGGCACAATCCACACGGCCGTGTGACCTGGCCGTGTGGGAATCACCGAGCCTTCACACGGGCAGCTGGGAAAGCCACACGGCCGTGTGGCCTGGCCGTGTGAGTCGGGAATTGCTGTTTAAAACCCGATTTTCAGCAAAAGGAAAGGGGGAGAGCTAGGTTTTGGATCCCAAACACCCAAGGGACGAACCCTAGAGAGAGAGAGCGACTTGGGAACATTCTTGGAGCTATTTTGGAGGATTTCTTCGCCATTGGAGCTCGGGAATCAAGCTTGGAGATGGAGATTGAAGATCTAGATCAGATTTCTACAGTCTCTCTCTTCTCTATGGAGTAACTTCCCTTCACTTAGATTTTGAGAAACCTTAGTTCCATGAGTTAGGATCTTTCTTGTATGAAGTTTTGGATGCTATATTGTTTGATTATAATCGAATGATGCATGTTTATTGAGTCAATTGAAGTCTGATCAACTTTTCCTGATTCCTGCTGCAATCTGAAATAGATAGAATCTGATTAGGTTGCTAGAGTCTCATCATTCGGTAGTAGGAGATTGGCTATACGAGAGTTAGCCAGTTTACTGCTTTGTACTGGAATCCAATTCCAGTGGTGGAGTTCTGTGCTTATTGCTTCAGCTTTCTATCCCGGTGAAGACTAGTCGTCTGCCGGATAGTTAGACTGAGAGGGCTTGGTCAGCTTAAGAGATTCCAAGCTACTGTCGGATCTTCCGCAGTTTAATGAACAGTAAATCAACCAAAAGGAATTACAACTTGGACCTAATTGAGGAGTTAGGGGGAATCATACCTAAGTGAGTTCCCAAACTGTAATTAGTAGTTTTACTTAGTTTAGTTAGTAGAGTAGTTTAGTTAATCAATCCTTAATCTAGTTTGCTAGATAATGAACTGAAGCTGAGTAATAGTAACTCTAGAGACCCGTGGATTCGATATTTATTACTTGTGCCACTATACTGCAGTCCCTTTCATTGGTTACACTTGGCCATTGTTAGGTGTTGTGTTTTAGAGCATCTTGTAGAGCACGGTGTTCTCGTAGGCGTGGTAACGCCACTCCTCAAACTCCAGCAGCTGCAACTTACGTTCTGTGCCTGCAACACTCAAATCAAGGTTTAGCAGCTTAATGGCCCAGAAGGCCTTGTGCTCTAGCTCTACTGGCAAATGGCACGCCTTCCCATAGACAAGCCTATAGGGAGAAGTGCCAATCGGATTTTTATAGGTAGTCCTATACGCCCAAAGAGCATCATCGAGCTTGGTGGACCAATCCTTGCGGGACTGATCCACCGTCTTTTCAATAATTCGTTTTAGCTCCCGGTTCGTCAGCTCGGCCTGCCCATTTGACTGGGGATGGTAGGCCACCGACACCTGATGCTTAACACCATAGCGAGAGAGGAGTTTAGTGAATTGCCCTTGAAAATGGGTTCCTCTATCACTAATGATGGCGCGGGGTGTCCTGAACCGGGAGAACAGCTGCTTCAGAAATGAGCAGACCCGTCTTGCATCATTGGTGGGCATGTCCTGAGCTTCTGCCCACCTCGAGACGTAGTCTACTGCAACCAATATGTACAGATTGCCAAAAGATGGAGGGAATGGGCCCATGAAATCGATACCCCAAACATCAAAAATTTCACAGATAACAGAGATATGTTGGGGCATCTCATCCCGGGAAGAAATGTTACCTGACCTTTGGCAGCGGTCGCACTGGCGTGCGAAGGAGTCTGCATCCTTGAAGAGCGAGGGCCAATAGAAGCCCGATTGTAGCACCTTCCGCGCCGTGCGGTTACCTCCATGGTGACCTCCAGTAGGTCCCTCGTGGCATTGAGACAGGATGTCTCCCATCTCGCGCTCCATGACACAGCGCCGGATCACGCTGTCTGCTCCGATTCTGAAGAGGTAAGGATCCTCCCAGAGGTAGCGCTTTAGATCAGAGAAGAACTTGCGCTTTGCATGAGTAGCCATCCCCTTGGGTAACTGCTTGCCCACCAGATAATTGGCAAAGTCAGAATACCAAGGGGTCACGCTGTCCACCAGTGTCATCTCCAGCAATCGCTCACCCGGGAAGGTGTCATCGATCTCTTCCACGAAGTTGTCCACCGAAGGGGCTTCCAACCGTGAAAGATGATCTGCAGCATCATTTTCGGCTCCTTTCTTGTCCTGGATCTCGATGTCGAATTCCTGCAGAAGCAGGATCCAGCGGATGAGCCGAGGCTTTGCATCAGCCTTGCTCATCAAGTAGCGAATCGCCGAGTGATCTGTGCAGACCACCACATGTGAGAGCACCAGGTATGGCCGGAACTTGTCAAATGCATACACCACAGCGAGGAGCTCCTTCTCAGTGGTGGTGTAGTTCTCCTGTGCATCGTTCAAGGTCTTCGACGCGTAGTAGATGGGCTGGAAGTGCTTCTCGCGTCTCTGACCCAGAACTGCTCCGACTGCATAGTCACTCGCATCGCACATCAGCTCAAAAGGGAGAGACCAGTCAGGAGTTACCATGATAGGGGCATGGGTCAGCTTCTCCTTCAGAGTTTCAAATGCAGCTGTGCACTCGGGAGTGAACTGGAATGGTGCATGCTTCTCTAGCAGCTTGGTCAACGGCAGGGCAATCTTCGAGAAATCTTTGATGAAGCGCCTGTAGAAGCCTGCATGACCTAGAAAGCTGCGAATCCCTTTCACAGAAACAGGAGGAGGTAGCTGACTGATCGTCTCAATCTTCGCGCAATCCACCTCAATTCCCTGCTTGGAGATCTTGTGCCCAAGAACAATACCCTCACGAACCATAAAATGGCACTTCTCCCAGCTGAGTGCCAGATTCGTCTCTTCACACCTCTTCAGAACGAGTTCCAGGTTATGAGACAATGAGAGAAGGAGTCTCCATAAACCGAGAAGTCATCCATGAAGACTTCCATGATCTCTCCAACAAGTCGGTCGAAGATCGCCAGCATGCATCTCTGGAAGGTCGCCGGTGCATTACACAGCCCAAATGGAATCCTCCGGTAAGCAAAGGTACCGAAGGGGCAAGTGAATGTGGTCTTCGCCTGATCCTCCGGAGCAATAGGAATCTGGAAGTAACCAGACATGCCATCCATGAAGCAATTAATAGAACTCATGGCCAGCCAACCTCTCCAGCATCCGATTAATGAAAGGTAGGGGAAAATGATCTTTCCTGGTGGCGTCATTCAGGCGCCGGTAATCGATGCAGACTCTCCAGACGGTCACGGTCCGCATCGGGATCAACTCCTTCTTCTCATTCGGGACCACAGTCATCCCGCCTTTCTTCGGGACCACCTGAGTGGGGCTGACCCACTTGCTATCAGATATAGCAAAGATGATCCCTGCATTCATGAGCTTCACAATCTCTGCCCAGACCACTGGCTCCAAGTTAGGAGACAATCTCCTCTGTGGCTGCCTGACTGGCTTAACCTCATCCTCCATCAAAATTCTGTGGGAGCAGAAGGATGGGCTAATGCCTCTAATGTTTGTGATCTTCCATGCCATGGCCCGGGCATACTTCTACAGCAGAGCCACCAGCTTGCTCTTCTGCTTGGGTGTCAGATCCGAGCTGATAATAACCGGGAGCTTATTCCCCTCCCGGAGAAATGCATACTCCAGGTGAGATGGGAGGGGCTTAAGCTCCAACTCTGGTGGCTCCTCCAATGATGTAGCGAGCCGGGGCGAGATGGGGATCGGCTTGAATGGTATCTCTCGCCCCTCGATCATGGCCTCGTCCAGCTCTGCCAGCTGCTCCTCCAGCTGCACATCCTGTGATGCCTGTTTCCCTAACAAAAGACAACGCTCAAGGAAATCATCAGTACCCGCACTCGTGATGGCGAGTGCGGTCTCAAAATCGCAACAACATCACAGTAATCCAGATCATCATGGAGCTGGGGGTGTTTCATATTATCAGAAACAGAGAAGGTGATTTGTTCACCCCCAGCTCTCAAAATCAGTTTTCCATCATTAACATCAATAAGCGCCTTGGCGGTGGCGAGAAAAGGTCTACCCAGTATCAATGGCACATCAACATCCTCATTTATGTCCAAAATCACGAAATCAACAGGATATGAAAATGGCCCTACTGCGACTATCAAGTCCTCTGCTATACCCCTAGGATGCACAATGGATCTATCAGCAAGCTGGATGCTCATCCTAGTATCACTGGGTTCACCTAGGCCTAGCTTTTTAAACAGTTTATAAGGCATGACATTTATGCTAGCGCCTAAATCCGCCAAGGACTTCCCTACATGCAAACTACCAATCATGCAAGGGATAGTGAAACTCCCTGGGTCTTTTCTCTTCTCTGGTAGTTTGTTCTGCAGGATGGCAGAACACTCCTCGTTGAGCATCACCATTGACAGCTCCCCAAGCTTCCTCTTGTTGGTGAGGAGATCCTTCATGAACTTGGCATACTTGGGCATCTTCGATAATGCCTCCACGAAGGGCATGCTAATGTTTACTTGCTTCAGCATTGCCATGAATTTGGCAAACTCAGTCTCCAGTCGGTCCTTGTGCAACCGAGTAGGAAAGGGAAGTTGTGGTACATACTCCTTCACCACTGGTTGCGGTTTAGGAGCAGGCACCTCGACCTCCTTCTCCATTTCTTCCTGATTAGCTGGAAGTGCTGAAGCAGGGGTCTCTCTCTCCTTTGCCCGAACAGGTGGATCGGCAGTCACCTTGCCACTCCTGGTTGTGATGGCACTGCAGTTGGCATTCGGATCCTGCGGGTGAGGAATGGTCTGACCAGGCAAGGTACCAGGAGTCCTCTGACCTACAGCCTGGGCAACACTCCCAAGCTGGGTCTGTATATCTCGCAGCACAGCCTGTGTATTTGTCTGACCAGCTTCTAGCTCCAAGAATTTTCCTGAAGCTTTCTCCATGAATTGCTCGATGTTATTGAACTTGTTCGCACTGGAGGTGGCCAGAGAACCCACCAAATCTCTCAATTCTGCCATCGGGTCACTCTGTACTGGAGCTGCAAGTGCTGCACCTGTCTGCTGGAATGGTCGCACCTGTGACTGAGGTGGAACTGGCCCCTGTCTGGGCTGGTAGAGTGGCTGCTGTGGCTGCTGAAATTGCCCCTGTCTGGGCTGGTACGGAGGCCTTTGGAAGCCAGGTGGACCCTGGGGAGCTGGTGGTTTGGGATTTGCCCCAGCCCAAGAAAAGTTAGGATGCTGGTGCCACCCCTCGTTATAGGTGTTGCTGTAGGGGTCGAAGCGCCTGGCATTACTGATAAAGTCCACCTGCTCCTGGGGAGTAGACGATTCCCTCATCACCTGACAGTCCTCTACGGTGTGATGGGAGCTCTCACACCACTGGCAGTGCATCGCCTGCGGCTGTCCTGTACCTGCAATCAAACCAGAACGATCGATAGCTGAAACCAGCTTCGATACCACCTGCACCAAATCAGATGACTGGGTGCCCACAGCATGCACACCCCGCCCTGGTGCTCGTCTCGATCTCCTGGCAGTGCCCCAATCGTACCCGTTCTCCGCCATCTCCTCAAAGAGTTGATTCAGCTGTGGCGGTGTTTTGGTCAGCATGTTCCCTCCACAAACCGAATCAATCAGCTGCTTGTCCTCCGGGAAGAGGGCGTGATAGAAGGTGCCCACCTTGAACGCATCATTGAAGCCATGATTTGGACACCTGAGGAAAAGACTGGTGTATCTCTCCCAAGCATCCCTGATGGTCTCATCTTCATCCTGGGTGAAGTGGGTGATCTTCTTCTGCAAGTCCGCCGTCTTCGACGGA